AGGAAATGTAGTTTGTAGCAAAAAGAGGATAAAGCTAAGGTGTGAAGGATGTTGCGAAAGATTTGTTGAACAAAGTTGTAGATGTGTAAGAAGAGGATAAAGGTATGATGGATTGAAGTGAGAAGATCATCTAATATATACATAATTATAAAGCAAAATCAGCCAAGAGGTAGTCACTAGTCAGGGTAATGCCCATTGAATCTAGAATAGGAAAACCTTATATACTGTATATTAGGTTTTTCTTCACTTTTTCAACCACTAGTCTAGGTATCATGGTAGCTGCAAGCCCTAGCCTTGTAAATTACGTAATGTAAATTGTAAATTATATTTCGTAAATTACTGTAAAGTATCATAATTTACGTAAATTTCCTAACCTTAGCTATCATAGCCCCGGGAAGGCTATTTCACCTCCCCATTGAAAAGACCGTCAATTGTCCCCCTGAGTTAGTATTTTTCTTCGTCTATTTCGATTTTTATCAAAACATCACGAGAATAAATTATGGCCAATAAGGTATACTCTGCAAGCACCACCGCCCCTGTCAACATTGCTGTCGCCAAGTGTGTTTTTACCCCTCCAGCTCCCAACTCAGTTCCATCCGACCCAGCTGGATCTTCCTCTCTCCTACCTCTTCCTCTTATAACCCTAAAATCGAACAATGCCCTACCTAACATATTTCTAAATAGGTACTGACGCAAGCGTGACACAGAGCTCAATATTCCCACCAACACTTCTTTCTCCCAAGCCGACCTAAGAATGCACGCAACCGCGGCCTCTAGCAGCACCTTCACGGTGAACTCCCTCTGGCCAATTAGTGAAGCTCAGGATGTCTCGGGAGCCTGGCAAACTGCATGCTTCGCGAACTCAAAATTTGAGATAGAGCTATGAGGCCACTAATCTGTTCTTGCGTAAATTGAGGAGGTACAGTGATTATAGCATTTCCGAGGACAACTTCCCTAATGCAGCACAATGGGTGTTCACCGCTGCTGGCTTCACAGCTTTAGTTCAGCCTATTGCGGATTTGTATGAGCTACCTAAGTGGCTGACGGAGTTGTCCAAGGTTGCAAGGCAGGGCTCCTAGTGGGGTTGCAGATAGCTGTTCGGTGGATATGTTGCCGGGAGATGGGACAGGCGGTAGATGGGAGCGATTCGTACCTGGCTAGAGTAGGGCTGATATCACACTCGCCAGATAATAAATTCGTTAATCCCGCCACACTCGCAGCTAATAAGGTGGTTTGTTCTACGGCTGGCATGCAAACTATCATAAATTTAAATAATTGAACCCTGTACTATGTCATTGGAGTTGGCTCCTATGGTAAGGTCTGGTGTTTTTCTGTTTTCATGTTTCTCTGAGGGGCTAGGTAGCTCTGTTTTGCTGCGATTTCCTCCCCTTTTCTGAGATAGGGAATTTTCAACTGCATGGTACATAGTACAATTCTTCCAAGATTCCAAGGTATTGACTAGCGAGTGATAATTTATGAGAGGAACAAAATCCTTGGAAAACTTTGAGAACCTGGCTAAAAACAAGGTATTTAATATAAACGAGCAAGAGTAATTATAACACAGATGCCAGTTAAGTTAATAGGACAGCCAAGCAACAAAACCAACAAACCACCAAATGAAGCTGCTATGCCCTCTCAACCCCGACTCATAGAATTCAATTCCCCCATGACTATTAACCCCCCACACCTCCTATCACCCCTTCTGATCACCTAATCAAAACCCGCAAACCGCAATATAGCCAGCAGGCAGTTTCCCATTCCCATTTATCTTCTTATAAGGATTGCCACACAGCTAGTCCCCTGCAGAACAAACCCCGTCCAAACCACTCCTCACAGCTTTCGTACAAATCCGCCGTCACTCCAGTTGGTGACCCCCTTCTTTGGTACTTGTAACCGTATTTTTCTACATCTTCACATCTGCAGGTCGAGTTATTCTGTTAGTGCTGCTGGATGCTGCTTCCTTGTCCATGTCTGCTATTCTCTCATGTACCTTTTCGAGGGGGTATCCCATCACTGCCAGGGCATTGAGACCGATTCGTGGAGGGGATATCGGTCAAAGGTGCCCAGCAAAAGCCAGGATTAGTTGTCCATGATGTAAAGTATGTTTATGGCATTTAAGCCGAGTTGGCTAATGAGTATTGCTACGGAGGTCCTGTATTCCTTGTCTATTCAGATCGCAAGAAGTCAAGTTGGGGGAGAGAATGAGAGAAACCCGGGCACCATGACATCCAATAGCAGGCTCATCCTTGATTTTCCGGATTACCGCTTTCGGCTTTTGGTTAAACCTTTGGCACCACAGCTGGATACCTCTTCTCTATGGGTCTCGGGAGGGGCCAGTGGGGTGTGCGGGATATGCGGTTCGGCCCCCACAAATGTTTGCCGAGTTGGGCCCGGTGGCGGAGAGCAAAATCGTTGTGTAGTCAAATAGTGTAGTGGTGTTCAACCAAAGACTGACTCTCCACCCCCCTATCCATGTTTAGGGTGAAAGCTTGATTGCTCGAGTACTGTACCTTTTGGGAGGTTTCGGGGTTTCCATGGTGTTAAAACCAACTACACCACGAAACCACATGACACCTTTAACCCTAACCCCAAATTATGCCTCCAATTTCGTTGTCCTCCCTTCGATTTCCCCATCCGCCCCGAATCAAGCCACGCAATTTTCTTAGAAGGACCCTGCCCAGCCCTCTTTGCATCATGGCGGCGGCGGGCCTCCAGGGAGGCGGTCGCTTTTACCAATATCAAATGCCGCATTACATCACATGCAGGGATCTGCATCCTCGCGACCTTCTTCTGGATGGCTGGCCTCTCCTCCCCCCGGTTGCTCGCAACCAGATCTCTAACCAAATAACCAACGATGCCGGTGTCCTACTTCATCTAGAATATGCCTTTACCAAGCTCTATGATGGCGCACCTGAAGGATCAGGGGGAGTTTTGTGGGTGTTGCCGGAGCACAGGCCAATTACCACTTTTGAGGGGGGCATGTCAGGGCTGGCATTGGGGAGCTATTGACGAGCAGAGCGTGTGTGAGATTTCAGGGGGGCTAGGGTGGTGTCGGTGAACGTGCGGTGGTTGATTCCCCTGATGAAGACGAGACTAGTACGGTAGTGTCAAGGAAAGCGTTGGATCAAATTCTCCTCTGAGTGAGGAAGGAGGGCGGGCCGCTGCGCTCAGAAATGGTCCGGCGCCAGTCGGAAAAAGTAACACCACGAGAACGGAGGAGACAGTAGATGAAGCTCTAGGTATGATCAAATTGTGATTAGGATTCTGTGTGATTCCGGTCGGGGCCTTACTAGGAGAAGCAACTACAACGTCCTGGCACATCCTTCTTCTATTTGAGTACTTACGGTAAGGTCGCTAAAGACGCCCTCCGTATCACTCAACGTATGTCCCGCAATTGGATGGTCGCATGAACAATTTCCGCCGTTCTGTTAGGGAGGTGGTTTACGCTGTTAAAGTAGTAGGCTTGACTCTCCAGAAGCGGCTGGGTGGATCCAAGGATACTAAGAGCGGAGACTTGATTGTAGAAGAATCTGGAAATATATGGTTGAAGCAAGCGCAAGACCCACCCAGCTATGGACCGAAAGCCTCAAAGAGGCGCAAGAGGGTCGGGGATATTAATGATGATAGAGAAGTCATCGAGGATCCCCAGGATATCACTATTGTCGCAGCTCCCGTAGATCTAGGTGCCCCTCCCAGCGGCCCAACACTACTTACGCTCCTCGATGGACCCCTCACACTGGACACAGACGGCTTCGTAGTCCCAGAACTCCCCGTCCCCTCACCACTTCCGATCTCCTCACTCCACGGAACACCAGTCGACATCACGGACTCCCTCATACCGCAATGCGTCGAAAAGGCCAAAGATGACCAACACTCCGCCATCGCGGAGGAAGTAACCGAATCCGAGATCGCCTCTCTACTGGATGGCTCCGCCACATCGATCATGGAAGAGCTCCGAGAGGCCGACCGCCAAGTGAGCGAAGAATGCGCCGCCTCTACTATATCAGACTACCCGGACAACGTCGACGACGACTTTGAAGTCCAGAAAGCCCTGCTCACCGGAGGGGAATGCGACCTGAAGGAGAAGATCTGGGTGGAGCTTAACAAAGACTACTTGCGTGAACAAGAAGGCAAGATCTTCCCTTCTTTCTTTTTTCCCTTAATCTTCCTTCCCCTCCCAATGAGTGCCATGGTATGGCTAACAGGGATATTATAGTGAAACGCCTGAAGAAGGAAACTGACCTCCGCAACGGTATCATTGAGACTGCCAAAAAGCGCAAGAGGGATAAACCCCGCGATAGCAACAGCAAGGAAATGACTGCTACCCCTGCCAGCAGTGCGAAGAACATGCTCATGCGTAGGAGTTATTCCAAGAAGATCAATTATAAAGCGATCGAGGGGCTTTTCGAGGATGATTAAGTGAGAGAGAGGGTCGTAGATAATTTCTTTCTTTTTGGGGGTTTCTAATTCAGACAGTCAATGTGCATATATCTGGGTGGGTGCATTCTAGAGATTCGGCGCTTGTTACGGTTTTTAGTGGGAGATTAGAGCACGGTGGTGGAAATGTCTGTGCCCATACGGGATCACTTAGGAGGACGGTTTTCCTGGGGTGTACTTTTAGCTGAGATTTAGCGTGTGTTTAGTTTTACGCTTATTTAGGCTGATGTGTTTTTCTTTGTTGTTTCACTGGACCACAGAAAATTGCCCAGTCTCACATTTTCTATCCTACTTGTGTCCCCGAGTCGAGGATTGGGACCTGTTTGCCTTTCTATGGGCTTGCTGTATCTATTCCGGGGTGATGGGCCAATCATTGATGCGGAGGTAGTGGTGGATACTAGGTTATAAAACGGCTTCTTGGGGCACAAATGTATTATAGCGGAAGAATCAATCGGTGGGAAAAGTAGATCTGTTAAGAACTTGTAGAGGAAAGTGTCCATTCAGAGCGTCCCTCCCATTTTGCTGCTATAAGCCCAAGGGGTACCAAGAGGGCAGTCCCAAATTTAGTTACCAGCAAATATAGCACTTTTCCCGAAGACTCTCGAGCGTTTCACCCCTCCGTCAAGAATGATGGCCATTTTAACATGAGTAACCGTTTTTCCGTTAATGTTCTGGAAGAGGGTGGACTGGAATGCATGTTCCTTATCCGCCTCACAAGAGTGTGCAGGAACGATAAGTTCCCATCCACTAGCATCGCCGGCGATATGTTGGTCGGAGGAATTGATGGTGTAGATTTCAACGGCTTGAGAATAGTTTCCACGGAAGTGGAGGGTGTCAACTACAATCTCTTCAATGTATCCCGGAGCCCCTTTGTGGTGAAAACCGGTTAGTATAACTAAGGCGTTTCGGCTGGTCCAAGGGAAAGGCGTACAACCTTGACGGACCCAGTCGACATGGCCTGGCTCACGGCTGCGATTGGTTTCCCAACCGTTTCCTGCGTCCTTACCTCTTCCGGGAAGCAACAGATTGGCAGCTTTTATTCCAGAGTTTCGGTCGCTGTAGGAGATTGCCAGGCCATCAAAGGAGACGAGAGCAAAGTCAATAATCGCGTCCGGATCGCTGGAGAACACGGAGACTGTAGTTCTAAACAAGCGGAAGCGGGGAATTCCTAATAGTGTGTTAGTACTCCCGGTATTTGTTGTGGGGGAATCTGTTATGAGATTACATCTATCGGGAAATATATTGAGACGGACATGAGAATAGGCTTTGGTAGTGGGAGAGCTTAGCTTCCAGATGTGTCTCCGGGAAGGGCCACACTCCCGCATTGTGAGTATTCCCTCCCACCGGAAGGGTTTGGGTGTCAGAATGAACTAATTTAGTGAAGTAATTCACTCACTGGTGTATTTGCGTCTAGGTGGCTGCCGTCAAGGAAGGTGCCCTCGGCGGTGACTGCTGGACCGTGGTTTTTGTTGAAGCAAGGTGTGTCAATCTCGAAACCATAGACCTTACCACTGGGGACTCCTAGCTATTAAAAGTTAATACGTAGTAGTCTTTTGTTATAAAAGTTTCTTCATAACGGTACCTACTTTAATGATGACCTAATTGGCAAGGGCTCTGTTGTGTCCTCTGGTCTCCCATCTTGAATTAACAGCATATTATCATTACAGAATCTCTAGGGGGGAGGGTAATACACCCGTCATACGAAGCACCCTTAGGACCCAAAAATCTCTTGAGCTTTAGATTCGTCAATGCGGTGAACTGTGTTGGAAGACATCGATGTCTGTTTCTTGGAAAATGGTTGTTGTAATGGGAGTGTTGTGAGGAGAGCGGGGAGACAGAGACGTATGCGGGTTGTAGGAGAGAGTGACCTCATGACAAGCGCTCAGGCAGGCCGCCTTGCCGGTGCAAAGGTAGACTAACTGCTATGTTAACTCATCGGAGGGTAAATGGTGAGAGGTCCGAGCTTGGGAAAATGGAGTGTTCTCAATGGATTTCATTTTTTTCTTTTTCTCTTCCTTTTCTCCACGTCAGGTATCATCGTCATCATAATAGGGGGTAACTAGTCACAAGATCTCACTCGTGAATAAATTATGCTATTAACTGTATTAATGACCAGTCTCGCTCTCTTACTGTTCCTTCTGGTTAAAGGGTTCATACCCGGTATCAATTCCTACCGAATTTATTGTTTTTTATCAATATCATTGTTGTCGTTTCATCATGAAACAATTAAATTTATTTATAGTATTGAGTTGTAGTACTGTACAGTACATGCGTTGCAACGTTGACAACTGTGCTCATGGTCGTGCAATTATTGTTGTCTGGAATATGTTGCACTGGTTGGAATGTGAAATGATCGGCATTGCAGGAATAGTTGAATGTATAGGGCTGAATGTATGGCGAATGAAGAATGCGATTAGGTGAAGATATGAAGACAATGCATATGGAAATGTGTACGGGAATGGGTGAAATTGCGATGGGTATGCAGAAACTTGTATGTTTATAGTATGTTATCATGTCTAGGTGGTACTGCATTATTTGGCGAGAACGTGCAGGCGCTAGTACGTTGAATTAAGGATGCGGCTTGCGTGGACTCAAGATTGAGTGAAGGAGAGAGCTTAGAACGGTTTAGTCCTGGACATAAAGGGTTAGGATATGACACTTTATTGCGATTTTGAGACAAACAAGGAAAAAAATCTTATTTGAATGTACTAGAACCTGCCAGTTCTCACCAGATTATGCGGTAGACAAGGCAGGCCACAAGGCAAGCGCAACAGGACGAATGAATACTATTCAATTTAGGGTTGACTTTACCCCTGTCGGAATGCTTGGCTGGATCAGCGTTTTTGTGCTTATATAATCACAGATTACCCAGTCCAAGTAAATGTTTATCTATGATCGCTTTTCTTTGTCACCACCTTGCAGCCTATCCCATGACTCTCGTGCCATCGCAAACATTTCTTCCTTCTACCTTAGCACAAGCTTTCCTCCCTTTTCATCAAAGCATGTCTGTGACAGATGAAGATAGTCAATCAAACACGCCGCCCACTGATCGCTCAGCATGGCGTGATACTTACATCTACGCTTCCGGCAACCGTGCTACTATTCTCGGAGGCCTCTGGGCCTCTGAAGGTATTACCAACGCCAATCTCTATTCCATGTTGGAGATTTTCTGCTTCTTTACCGATACTTTCCATTTACGCGACGACCACAAACAGTTGGTTGGGAGGGATGGACAACAGCTTCAACCAGGCAATTATTTTGTTGTCACTGAGGGTAGGTTTCTTCATTGCTTCCATCATTGGCCGCTACTCACTGCGAATAGGTTCCGTCAGTGTCACCGATGAGGTCCCGCTAACTCGTACAGCTTCATTGCCCTCCGGGACTCGTGTTGAATCGTTCCGCGATGCTGTGCTCCAGCGAGATCAGCGATGCGTTATAACAGGCATTCCTGCGGTGTTAACTCATATTGGCAGGTCGAGGGGCTTCGAAGCCACTCACATATTCCCTTTGGCATACGAGAGGGAGTGGAATGACTGTAACTACCATCGTTTGATTACCATTCCCCCCACCAATGAGTCCCACGGATCCATCAACTCTGTCCAGAATGGGATCTTGCTCACGAGCAACATGTACCAGTTCTTTGCTTCCTATGATTTGGCAATTAACCCTGATGTAAGCAGAGCTAGTTGTTCAAGGCTTCGTGGCTGATAATTGAATAGGACAACCACAAGATCGTGTGCTTCACACCTGATCTCACTAACTATCACATCGCGGGTCGTCATCTTGACCAAATGTTCACCGATAACCCACTCCGGCCGCCTGATGACCTCCTACGCTGGCACTTTCGCCAGGCAGTCCTTGTTAATATGAAGGGTGCTGGAGAGCCTTCTTTTGAGACTGATTTCCCGGCTGGCTCAGACATGATAGGCGAGATTATGAGAGGCCCCAAAGCTGGGGCGAGAATGGAGTTTGAGCTATTTAGCCGTTTCAATGCAATAGAGATTACTCCTGGGGCAGGGGTAGGGGGCCGGGTAATGTGTAACCAGGGAACTGCAATATTTTGTGTTGCTACGGGATTTAGCACTGATCATAAATTCTCTGCAATCGGGCGCACTCTGAGGTTCTATGTTAACCCACATCAGCAATTGAAACCTTTTTCACAGATCATGGCTGTTGTCTCACTTAAACGATATGGAATGTAGAATGGGTGTTATTTAAAGCCTTTGGAACTGAATCAGGAACTCAATGAACACGTGGTCCATACAGTTTTAGATAGTAAAACGCAAACAATATCCCTAATGCAATACTCTACCTATTGGTGAAGGGAGCCGGCTGTTTCCCTCCTATCCCAGCCCCTACCGACAGGCCAGGATGAGCAGGTTATTCACCTCCGCCTGCCCATACCGAGTTTGATCCTAAATGGGGAGATGGGGTATCAGGTTGAGGATGGGGACATCTTCATATCCCCAGCGAGGAATATAGTATCGTGGCTGCTGCTGGCGCAAGAGTTGATGTCTGTGGGAAGGTTCATTGCGCCGGTTGTCAACTTGTCTTGCCATAACCAATTACCAATTCTCAAATTCTAGCGCGAGCAAAATGAGTCCGACCCCCCACTGTCCCTACTTTCCGTCGCCTCACCATCCCACCTTCTGGAAGCCATAGCTGACTTCCCCTGGTGCGGCCTCTTGGCAGCAGCACAGGATGCAAAGAAGGCTGCAGGGCTTCAGAGGAAGCGGGATGCTAGGGACAGTGATCTCGAAATGGTTAGGGCACACAAGGAGAAGAAGGAAAGGGGGCTGCAGGAGAAGGCAATGGCGGGGAAGGGGGCCGGGGAGATGATTGAAGAAACGATTAGGATGCATAGAGATAGGAGGGGAATGATGCCGCTGTGGGTGCAAACACGGAGGGGGGGTAGGAGGCAACGAAAGGAGGGGGTGCAATCGCAGTTTTAGGCTCACAATGTAACCATATTTTCATATCTGGAGCGTAGGCCGCCAGTGGGTTGGGTGTATATATGGGACTTCTCAATTTTTGTAAATCATTTACCTAGCCCCAAAAAGTGTTAACCGCAGCAGTTATTGGTGGTATGTCATTCGAAACGGTCGAGTGATTATTGGTGAAAAGGTACCACCACTCCCGAATCCACTAACCTCTACCATTACCCGCCCAGCAGTTGTGAGAACAGGGGGACGCATACCGGTGAGTTGGCGCTCTGGAGGAGTGCGCGGGCAGGTGCTGTTGACAGTGAAGCCAGCTGGAGATGGCAACTTTGGCAATAATCCACTAGGGGTTGGAATGCTGTTGTTGGGTTCTCTCCTTCGGAGTATTCTATAATATTATCAAATTTGACGGGTCCTCCATATATTCCTGTGTTCGGACCTTGCCGGAGCCGGCGCAGTGTCTTCGCGATTCTTGGCTTGGAATAGAGGTGTCTGTCGAGAGATGTTTCGTGAGCTTGATGAATACAGTTATCAATACAAGGAAGAAGTGGCACTAGCAATAGATACTGTGCCCTCCCATAGGGTATCCGAATCCATTGCTCAATGAACCCGATGAGTGGAAGACTATCCGTCAGCTTCCGAACGCTTTCCCCGACCTCAAATGCTATTCTGGGCAGTAGGAATGGTCTGCTGTAATTTTTGTCAACATGCTCTAGGGCCTCGAATACCAAGGTTCAGATCTTGTCTATACTTTCTATCGAGCTCTAACTTACGGGATTGCCTTTGGGCTCTGGGAGAACGTACCAGGTTTCCGGGGTGGGAGCAAAAGTAGAGCAGTAGTCCCGGGAGGGGAGGTGTGCAATACGGCCTCTACCAACAGTGGCTAAGTTGGATTTAGTAGGTAAGGAGTCAGTGCTTTTCAACCGGAAATCGTGGTGTTAAATACAACTACTCCACAAAACCGGATGCCAAGTTCTGCGTCTATAAATTACATAACTCATTTGATGGCTCTCACCGGGACTAACATATCATACCGGTAATCCTGCACCACCCTCCCATGAAATAAAAATAAACCCAGACCTTTCTTCTTCGCCTAACAAGATCACTCATAGCTAACACTGCATGTATTTAAAGACTTATAGGCGATTGGCGAGACGAATGAACTCTGGGTTTTGATAGATCCTTTAGTTCTGGAATTTGTCGAGATGTTCAGAATCGCACAAAACTATGGTTATTTAACATCAGAGTTTGAAATTGATTATGATGCCGCAAAACTCCCAGTCATTCACCCCCCCTGCAGCAGGTTGTATCTCCAGATCTAAAGACTCAATAAAATTCGTGAAAAAATTAGTGCTGCTCCCTACGCTTAGAGCCCTCATCCTGGGTGTCCTCACAGGCCTCTTAGCCGGAGCAGTAAGCAATTGAGCGGTCACAAAATGAACCTCGTGGGCGCGCCGAAAACGGCCTTCGAGTTCCGTCGGAACAAGCCGTAAAATATCCTCATAGGTTCCCCGTGCGCCATCCTCCCCTTCTATAACTATCTCCGCCGCCAAATCCCAAAACTAGAAAAGAAGCTCAGGGACCGAAGATGGCTCTTCGCTTAGAGAAAATTCGTCTACATGTGGAGATTGGGAAGTAAACCGCTGGCGAAGCTCGGCCGAATGATAAGGAATGGTGGCCGGGACAAGTAGGGGGTGCTCAAGTGGTCCACAATTGAGAACGAGTGGGCGGGGAGACAATGCGGAATGTGGGGTAGAGACCCTAGTGGTGGTCCCTTGGTGTACTGTATCTCATGAAGGTCACTCGGCAAAACCGGATTGGTTGGTCTCCATGGCGATTCTTTATAATTAGTAATCGGTACAGCTCACTCAGAATTGAGTAGGGAGGAGGGAACTTGGGATACAGTAGACAGCGGGATAAGATGGAAGTGATGATGGGGGGGGAATTCGGCATGGGTAGGAGGAAATTCTAGAGGTATCGATAGGTGGTGGAAGAGGTGATTAAGGAAGATGGCTTGGGGATGGGAGGATGATGGGAGGAGTATCATAGGTAATAATATCATCTTAGAAAATGTTAGGGGCCGGCGGGGAGAAGATTATGAATCAATGGGTGTTGGAAATTGAGGAAGAGGGACAGGATAAACCCGGTAGTCGTTGCAACGGTAATGACTGAAAGGCAGGTTTTACGCAGTGGATAGAGTTGGCTCTGATGGCGATAAGGGAACTTTGTATTGTGTGTGTTCAATAGAGAAAGAGGAGAGAGGAGAGTTTCATACAAGAGGTGTGGAGAGGAGTTGGTTGACCTCTTGAGAAAGAAAGAAAAGAAAAAGAAGGAAGGGAAATAGAGAGGTGAAAACTTTTCACTGCTTACGCGTCCTCATATGAGAGGTACCGTAGTTTCCAGCTACGGGTACTTAACTGCCATTTTCAACAATGGGATATAGACAGAGACCGAGTGATCGATTATGACCGCGGATACACGAGCACAATCAACCATGCCCGTGTATCATCGAGTAATACCCCTGATCGAGCAACTATCTGACCGAGGAACCCCCTATGGCCGAGGTTACTGAGTAGATGGATCACGATCGTGTCTGTTACTAATTTAGACATACATTATTGTTAAAAATGTGCATCTATTATCAAGGTATTCATTAGATCGACCAGGGACAACGCAAAGGATAGCGTATGATACCAAGATGCTTGTGATCGAGCCCTCATTTCCCTCTCCACACAGTCGGCGAGCCGGATGAGGCTGAATACACCTAACGAATTGCCCCTGTAGGCGGATGAGGAACCCAAAGACGTCCACACCATATCTATAGTACTGTACAATACCACCACCACCACCGCATTACCCTACCATGTCCCCGAGATAACAACCACAAATTCCACCAAAACTTCTACCAACCACCGCAATACACTAAACATAAAACCGACAATGCGCCCCCTACTCCGCCCGTTCCCCTCCCACGCACCAAAGCCCCTCCCTTCAAAGGCAATTTCTCCCCATGATTACAAGTTTGTTAGTAAAGAATCTCGCTGCGGGTGCAATATCGTTGAGGGTGGAACAGCTTTAAAGTATTCTTCATGACGATCATACTACCAGTATTATACTATCACATCCTTTCCATGGGGCTACCTCCAGTCGCAGGGATGGGTTGCGCTCCTCCAGAATGGTGCCCTCGGTTACCAGTATCCTCCACACCATTTCTTCAATAAAGGTAGGACTGTCAATAGTGCGGTGTTCCCGGCACGTGATGCCGTGGGCCGTGTGGTGAAGTTCCCCACATACCGGTATGCACCGGCTCTGCGATGGAAAATTCAATAGGCTTATTTTAGGGTCTGTTCGAGACGCTACAAATATGATACCATCTATGGTATTCCTACTTTTAGGGCATTTGTTTAATGGTATTTTTACAACTAATTGGGGTGTGTTCAGCATGCCGCAAAAGGCTTGGTATTTTTTCAATCAAGCATTTCCTGCAATGGTACGGTGGGGGTTTAGGCCAGAAGAGTAAAAATACTCATTCTTCTCCCAAATGTTAGAGTACTTAGTAAACTCATCAAAAGAAACACGTGAGAAGTCATGAAATAACCTCTGGTAAACAGCCTCCAGTTTGCTATACACTTCTCGCGCAAGCAAAAGTTAGGAGAGTGGGGTCGAGACCTGGATTTGGAATCTATCTTAGAGCTTCGAGTCTTGGCTTTCAGTATTTGTAGTTTACTTGATATTATTCACCTATCATATCAGAAATTCTCTATGCTTGAAAACTGACATCTTACACCTCTCCAAGGTGTCGCCTCCTGCCTGGGTGTCCAAGACCTTTATTTCACTCAAAATAGACTAACTGGTTTCCCTGCTGGCTCTCATGGCCCAGGTTGAGGTCGACTGCTTTTTGTGCTTATATAAGCAAGCATTGCCCCCTCGGCAGTTCGGACAAGTGCGTGTTTGCTTTTTCTCAACTGTCCACCTATCCTACCACTCACCCAATCCTTTGCCAAATTCCTTTCTCCATCGATTTGTGCTTTGACCTCAAGCGATGGCATCGACAGACCAAGATAGGGTCGCATATATCCAGCCCACCAATCGCTCGGCATGGCACGATACCCACATCTACGCTTCCAACGATCGCGACACTGTGCTCGGAGGTCTCTGGGTCGCACCGGGTATTACCAACACAAACCTCTATTCTATGGTAGAGATTTTCTGCACAATTACCGATACTTTCGACCTACAAGACGGCAGCCAGCGACTTGTTGAGAGGGATGAGGAGCCACTTCGACCAGGCAAATACTACATATTTACCAAGGGTAGGCCCCCTTTATCCTTTGGTCATCGACTACCACTCACCCGCGATAGGTTCCATCACTGTCACCAATGAAGTCCCTCTACTTCGTACTCTTTCGTTGCACTCCGGGGCCCGTGTCGAATCGTTTTTTGACTCTGTACGTAACCGGGATCGGCGTTGTATTATAACCGGCAGATCAGCAGTGATAAATGGTGTTACTTACTGGGAGCCCTTCGAAGCTGCTCACGTGTTTCCTTTAGCATACGAGGAGCACTAGGGCCATTGTAATCTCGGTCGTTGGATCACCGTTCCGCCGGGCTCTGCGTTGCATGGAACTATCAACTGCGTGCAGAATGGGATATTGTTCACCCGAGATATGCACGCACTGTTCGATTGCTATCAGATATCAATCGATCCGGATGCACGCTTGGCCTCAGATTAAAGGGTTTGTGCTGTTCCTAACTAATACCTGTCTAGGATCACCACAAGATTGTCTGCTTTACGCCTATTGCTAACAGCTACGGAATCGCTGGCCGACAACTCGATCAATTGTTCCTCGATGACCCGCTTCGCCCGAGCGATCATCTCCTCCGTTGGCACTTTCGCCAAGCAGTCCTCGTCAACATGAAGGGGGCTGGCGAGCCGTGTTTTAAGATAGATTTCCCGCCTTGTTCAGACATGATGAGCCAGATTATGAGCGGTCCAAAAGCTGTTGAAAGGATGGAGTTTGAGATTTTTGGCCGCTTGAATGCAAAGGGGATCGCGCTTGAGGCAAGGGTAGGCTTCCAATGTGATGTGACCTAGAGCACTACAGAACTTGGTACAACGAGGTTGAGCGCCGACTTCCGTCTTAACTCCACTTGCCCTTTCTGTTGCGATATTCTAGCTGGCCAGTTGAGAAATATATATGATATACTTTGCCTTTTCGCATTAGAATTTATCTGTTCGCAGGGTGCTACTATGATTGCATGAGACTGTTGTACCCGCCGTCATGAAAGATCACTCGGATGAAATAGCTTATCATACGAGGGTCTACTATGTGCATGCCTAGCCCGACTTCGAAGCCAGATGAATTCCGTGTCAGACTACGGATGTGTCCTACGCTTACTAGCCTACTAGTGCCCGCCCTCCCCCAATGGTGCATGGTATTGACCAGTACTGAAAACCCCAAATCCATCATTTCCGCTTTCCGCCCCCTCTCATATTTCTATGATACTGGTTTTCCCTACCTTCCCTACCCTATGACCCCCTTCCAGACCTTCCCTAGAGACAACCATTAAGAGTTTGGGCTTGTGACGCACTGCACGCTAGCTATAATAAAACAAGTGGACGTAATGGGGAAAATACGGTAAAGGGAATTAAAACAAGTTGCGAGCAAAAGCGATAACCAGCACCCAGACAGGAGAAAAATTGCTTTCGCCCTGCCTCGAACTCGAACCGGACGCCGCGAGTGTATTAGACTAGGCCGGTGTGGTTCCAGTTCCCGTGGAGAAAATGGGCGCCTGGAGTAGTGCGAAGCATGATAAGTAGAGTTGCAGTATCAAGTTGTGAGATAGGGCGGTTTTCCCGCTGTCGGATACAAGCAAGACGCACTCGTTGAACAAATAGTTTACACTATCCCGGGTTGTTTCTACGAGGTTTGAATGCACTGCGTATCGTATCCAGGGTATTCGGGGGCTATAAAGATTGGGGCTTTCCCCCCCCCTTCGGGCAGATAGAGATTGAGCAAGACATAATTGGGCTTTACTTATTTCAACTTTCGTCCATACTTTCCGTTCTCTCTCTATTCCCGAGCATTAATTCCGCCTCTCTCCTGCCGGGCAGGTCCCCTCTATGGGGCAACCCCTATCGACCCCGATAAACCTGAGATAGGGGTGGGTTGGGGGGGCCATGAGGCCCAATGATGTCCCAGCAGGAACGTGGGACCGGAAGGGGAGGATTTCATGCGGGCGTGGCGGAAGGGGAGTAAGTTATGCTCGATTGCTCAGAAATACGCAGTGCATTTCTCGGCGACTATGGATTTAATCGAATCGACCAAGTTGAGGTACAGTACTAGACATCTTGTCTGCATGCATATCCCCATTCCGCCATCGAATAATCATCCCGCAACCGAGATATTCCTCAAAAAAGCCCCCCAACAAGCAAGCAAGTTATATATAACCCAACCAGAAATTACCCAACAGCATCACCCCTACATTATTCTTAAAGATTTAATTAACGAAACCAGCCCTTTTCCCCTTTCCCCCGCGCGGATCACGAAAAATCACTGACTTCAAACCTGACTCATGGGTCCCCGACTCCTATCGCTAACACCCCTCTTCATCATCCCCTGAATCCCATACGCGCTGAACGCAAAGCTGGCCAAAAACGCCGCAAATGCAAACCAGTGAAAAGCTGTCATGGCATTCGCCTCGTGACACCGTCTCGCAGGAGAAATGTATCCTCCGCCATTGGTAATTCCATTTGCAAGGAGGAATTCCTACCAAACCCCTCTTCCGTCAGCCACTCACCACATGCGAAGTGGGGGAAAAGGAAAGCAAACAATATTCCCACAGCTCCTCCCTCCCAACTGTGCCGCCATGGCTATCCCAGCGCTGAGTAAGAACACGCAATTCAAACCATCAAGAGTGGTGCTGACAATCGGGTTCTCGATTTTACTGAAGAGCGTGGTTGGGATGAGGTACAGCATGAGTGTCAATATGGCGAACACGGCGGCGAAGATACTGAAGTTTACGCGTGTGGGTGTGCCGCCCCGGAATTGCTGCTCGATCAGTGCGCCCGCCAGGCCGAGGATTATGGTTGTGAAGGTTAGCTCGGTTAAGCGTAAGAATGTTGTTGAGATTATCTTTAAGGAGAACATGGTTGTGGACTTATGGTGAGTTGGGTTGAAGCGGGGGGGGGGGGTTGAAGGGGGGGCTTATGAAGGGACGCAGGGAGAGGAAGGTAAGAGGTGAAGGTGAGGTTTTGAGGACGTCATGGGGTTTGGTATGAAACCTGACTTTTACTGCACTGTTGGGGTTCTGTTTAGTGGCTGGGTTAGGCTGAGTGTTGGCTGGTGCTTCCGGAATCTGGTGATAATCACTCATGACTCTTCGTTCATACGCAGAATTTCACGGAATTTTACTTGTAGTTCGAAAGCTGGGGGATGCTTGGCCTGGAGGGATAAAGTACCGGTACTTGAGTAAATTTACGGCACTCAAGTATGGTTGGGGTCTTGAGGTGCTGACCCGGCCAATAAGCGTCTCTAGCCCGGTGGATCTGCGTGGTATTTTCTTGAATAGGTGGAGTTATACAAACGAACGGATAGCGGCAACCGGCTCAGGCTAACCTTTTGATAACCACGGACCGTAAGTCACCCTTCATTCATAACTTTCCCACCAAGACCCCAACGTCATCCCTCGGAGAAACCGCAGCGCCACAGCCCCCAAACAAGGTGTCGCTGGGTAAATGTCATCACTCACTCCGCTCAATCCCCGGAACAACTCAAGATAAACCCCGAGAATCCTCAAACGAAGGAAGAAGCAAGCACTCGGCGCAGGGAAACGATCCAAACGAACGAGTGACGGCCCATGTTCACGAGAAAAGAAAAGAGATCCCTACCGAGATGCATGATACTGTGATACAATAGCTATGATATCTTAGCGGTATCCCATGACAAAGTGAAAGTGAGGAGTAGAGTAGAGTAGAGATTTTCAAGGGAAAAATAAAACATAGGAATAAGGGAAGCCATCCAATCCAACCATCAATCACACTCCCAAAAACCCCCCGCGCGAACGGACAAACAAATCAATAATAAACCAATAAAAGAGAGGGAGAGAGAGGAAAAGATTACTCCGTAGCCTCAGCTAATTGGATAATCAACCGACTAGCCAGCTCCAAGAACGGGAACGGCGAGCTAACTTCCTTCTCCCCATCACCTCCATCGCCCCCCCCTCTGTTCCCATCCTTTCCCCTCCCCCTCCCCTTCCCCTTAACAGCAACTTCCTCCTCCTTTCCATCATCGCCTTTAATAACCCCCCGTCCGTCACCACCCAACTCCGTTAGAAATCCCACCTTCTTCTTCTTCCCCAGCCGCTCGTAGCCTGCGCACTTGAAGTCGACTAGGTAAAAGTTGTGTTCTACCGGTAGCTGGTAGAGCTGTATCTCCATGTGTACGTACAGACCTTCCTCCCCGAGGGGATTAGTAGGCGGGTAACTAGTTCGCTTGGCTGTAGCGGAGGTATGGGAGGACTTGCGCCAGCGGCAGTGGATTATCCATGGATCCGTGGGGACGGTTTGTGTGCGCTTATTTTTATTGCTTTGCTGGGCGTTTTGGTGATCGTGCTGTCGGGAGTGCCAGTCATTGTCCGTGTCTCGGTTGTCTGCCTCTTCTCCTTCTGCTTCATGGGAGGAGGTAGAGTCTGTGTCTGAGTTTGTGTACTCCTCACCTGGAGTCTCGCCTCCGGAGTCGGAGTCATTGCCGTCGCCGTCTTCATCATTTTCGCCAGCTTCATCGTCGCCACACTCCTCCAGTTCCCATTCCGCGCCGAGTTTTCGGAGCGCACGATATATGCACCCGACTGCTTCCAGCGGGGAATTGCGGCTCCGAATGCCGAATTGCCAGCGGGTTTGACGCTGGCGCTTGGCTTGCTGAGCGTGACCGGGCGGTAGTGGCGTTAGGCCTTCGATCCTGGTACTAGAGGATTGGATTCGCGTGTTTATCGGCCTAAGTCCGCGGCGGGTTTGTTGTGGGGTTATTTGCGGTGAGGACGGTGCTGGTGAGGGTGGAGGCGGGGCGCCCGACATGTATGCTTTGTGGTACGCTGGGAGACTGGTCGGTAGGATGGAGATTGAGGAGGAAGGGGAGGGGCCGACATCGCCTGGTGTTGCTACGTCCTCCGGAACGCCCGCGATGCCGAGGCCGTCTTTGCCTGGCAGAGCAAACGGTGAGGCGGTGCGTTGCGGGGTTTGGGGATTGAAGCTAGGCGAGTTCGGTGCTTGAGGGTTCGGTGTGGGTCGTGGGGAGGAGGGGAGGTATGAGTTCCAGGCAGGCGGAGATTGTGCGAGAAAGTTTTTGATGTTGTGAGCATTCGAGAGGCGGGCTTCTCGCTCATTAGTTTACCAGTAACAGAGAATGGGAGAGGGGAGGGCACAATCTCTCATCATCATCTGATTCTCCCTCACGATCATGTACGCATCCTTGATCGCGCTGGGCTCCTCCTTATTGAGCGCGTCCTGGACATCATCCTTCGCATACCCCATCGTAGACCCCAACTTTCCCACCACTGCTTCATGGAGTTCGCCTTTCAATCGCTCCGCAGGTCCCCGCTCGACGCTCTTCCATGTCGGTAGCCTAGAAAGATCCACGCCTGTATTAAAGAATTCTTCCGGTGGAGGGCGAAGGTATTCTGGAAGCCCTTTGTTGAACCAGGGATCCTGTCGGATGTCTGCAACCGTTATGCGGGATAACGGGTTCACCACAAGCATTCTTTGAATCAGGTTGCGTGCTTCGGAGCTTAAAAAGTGGGGGATCGAATAATTCCCCTCTGTGCAAACGGTTAGCAGTCGCACGTGGTATAAGACGACATGCAGGGCAAAAAAACGAAAAAAAAACATACGTCCAATTTTTTTGAATAGCGTGGGTATATAATCGTCGTCGAAGGGTAGCCTCCCGCAAAGTAGAACGTAGAGGATAACCCCACAACTCCAAACATCGACTTCCGGGCCCGCATACAATTTCCCAGAAATGACCTCCGGCGCAGCATAATTCGGACTGCCACAAGACGTCTTGAGAAAGTTCCCGTCAGTCATGATATTACTAAGACCAAAATCTGCAATCTTGACATTGAGATAATCGTCCAGCAACAGGTTCTCCGGTTTCAAATCCCTGTGCACAATCTTATGGCGGTGACAATACTCCACGGCGCAAATTATCTGCTGGAAGAACCGTCGTGCAGAGTCCTCCGTCATTTTCCCATTCGTAACGATATACTCGAACAGTTCTCCACCAGCGTACTCGATAACCATAATTATGTCGTTCGGCGTTGTTATCACCGTATACCTAAATCACCCATCAGCACCTCTCCCCCACCGATGGGAGGATCCTCCTTTTTTTCCGCAGACGGGAACAAACAGCTTAATAATGTGCGGGTGCCTCAGTAACTGCAAGTAGGCAATCTCCCTCTCCACCCGTCCGGCCATATCCCTATTATTCAACTTCTTCCTCGAAATGATCTTCAAGGCGACCTTCTGCCCGGAAACCTGGTGCACGGCCAATTTCACCTTTCCGAAGGAGCCCTCGCCAAGGGTCTTGATGATGTTGTACTGCCCGAGTCGGTGCTCCGCGTCCGGTTTGTGCGCATCGTGGCGGCGGAGCGGTCTTTGCTGCTGCTGGTGGTGGTGCTGCTGCTGTTGAGAGTGCGATTGGGATTGGGATTGCTGGTGTTGGTGGTGTTGGTGGTGTTGCTGTTTGTATGGAGGGATGGCCAGGTCCCCGTCCGTATAGGTTGGCGGCATGGCCGGCGAGCGGGGGGCTGATTGAGACGTGATTGATTATTAAGGTACTCACTCCTCTTTGCCGAAGGGGTCTGTTGGTTTTTTCTATTCGTTACGATCCCTTAGCGGTTGTGCTGCGTAGGAAGGTGTGGTGCGGAAGTAGTGGGGGGAGGGTTAATGGGAGGATGTTAAGTCGTGACGAACGGTAAAGTAAGGAGGTAGAGTGTACTAAGTACTCGTAGTAAACGGAATGGGGGGGGGGATGGAGAGGAAGGTTTCCGAATCGTGGGCGATAAGAGAGATCGAAGAAAGATTAGATGCGACGACGTCACAGTCAGCATGCCACAACTGGGTGACACCCCAATTGTACTGTGCAATACAGTAACTCCCATCACAGCGTGACCTCGCTAATCCTTTCACAAAGTAACGGTACGATACCTTACCGCGAAGCCCGAACCCCCGTGCCATAACTTAGGTCTAATACTCGGAGCACTCAATCCCGATCCCCAAGGCGGAGGTGGAAGAGTGAGTTCATCACCCCCGTCATTTCCTCCTCTCCTCCTCTTCCCATCGCGTAGCGGTTAACGCCAATTATCGTAGTCGTATTTGCATGGTCAAGCTTTTTCCTTTTTCCTTTTCTCTTTCCTTTCTTCTTCGCTTCTTTGCCTAGCCAACCGTAGTGAAGTCAAGCCCACCATATCCCAATAGTACGAGTACAGTAAGCTGTCTGCAACCTGAAGGAGAGTTAGTACGATATACGGTGAGCAGAAGAACCACGGCAGAGGAATTCCAAGCCTACTTATAGCCAACACCGTATCCAGCTAACCCAATATCTTGGGAATGGACCACCGTATCACACTGTTCAAGTAATTGCATCGAGTAATACCCCGTACCCCAGCACTTGAGTACCACGAATATCCCACGCAAACGATGTGTTAGGGATGGTAATCTTCCTCCCTGCCTCAGTATACCGGTACTCGAGTACCGTGCTTGCACCCGATGTTTCTCGCTCGTAGGAGCAAAGGACCTTCCTTTTTCTACTTTCGGTGATGCTAGTGTAAATGTGTAATAGGGCATGAAGATCCAGCATTGGTTGGTCTGCGAGTACAAGTATCATACTAGTCTACTTGTACCTAAAATTACCAACTAGATAGCACAAGCCACCACACTCCAAGCACCGCCACACAGGTCTTCTCGTAATCAACCAACTCCACCAATCAGGAACTCTGGTACGAGTACGAGTGCAGTACAGTACCATACGAGTACAGTACAGCAATCCTTCCGGCTTGTTTGAAAGGTTTAAAAAGGTCCCCAGCCCCATCCCCTTCCGCCCACACATTGCATCACCGCACCGTAGGACAAACAATCACCAAAACTATCACCACAAATCACCTGGCCAAATGGCCCCAGGAACCCTCCTCCATCTCGCCCGTCGGCTGCGACTGCCAAACCTCCCTTTACTCCCCGCCCACCAACCAACTCTCCTCCGCTCGCACCTCCTCCGTAACCTCCGCCAACCCCTCCGCCCTTCCTTCTCAACAGCGAAGACAACCCCACCACCCCCAGCAAAGCCCGCCACCCTCTCCGCGAGGCTAAAACACCTCTCGCGTGAGTACGGTTACAGCGCACTGGGCGTGTACCTTCTCCTCTCGGCACTCGACTTCCCCTTCTCCTTCCTGGCAGTGCGTTACCTGGGCACGGAAAGGATCGGCGAGTTAGAAGCCAGTGTCATAGGCTTCGTCAAACCGTACTGGGTATCATTACGGAGTGCTGTTGGGTATCCACCTGCACCGGTGCCGGTTGGGGATCGAGGGGTAGAGGTGGAGGGGGGGGAGGGGAGATGGGAATCAGTACACGATGCGGAGGGGGAGGTTGAGAAGGCAGCTAGTATGTTTTCTTCCCTTCCCGGTTGGGGTGGCTTGGAGGAGGTGGCTAATGCGAGGTGATGGGTGGGACAGGTATATGGACGGAATTAGCACTCGCCTATGCGATCCACAAATCCTTCATCTTCATCCGAGTGCCGTTGACGGCAGCGGTGACTCCAAAGGCTGTGAAGGTTTTGAGAGGGTGGGGGTGGGATATTGGAAAGAAGGGCGGAGCAAAAGAGGCTGTTAAAAAGGCCAGGAGGGGGGATTAAACAGGTTCTCGTGGGGCAAGTGTGAAGTCGTGTATGATATGATAGGAAGCCTATCCTTTATCCCTGCTTTTTTTGTACACACGTTCTGCCGTCTCTTGCTTTTGTGCATGTCTATTGCGATTGCATGCATGCCATAGCAGAACTGATAACATAGACAGTCAAAAGGAAAAAATCCCACTCAACTTCATTCAATATTCACCCCGCTCTCTCCTCTCTTGACCCCAATCAATGAACTAATTACAACAAGCCCGGACCCCCCCACCCCCACCAAAAAGGCACCCCAAAACCTCCCCCGGCGCATCCAAACTCCCCATCTCAACCTCCACCTTTCCATCACCATCACCACCAGTACACCAAACTAGCACCACCCCCCCACAGTGCGCACAAAACCCCCTTATCCCACCCGTATACTCAAACTCCCTATACGGCCATCCCACCCCACCACCTCCTTGCCCTCCCGGGTCTTCATATTCCGGCGGTTGCTCCTCCGTCTCCGTGCGACGGGGCCGCGTACCTGGGGTGCATACCACCCCGGGCATTCTAGGGATTTCCAGCGTCTGCGTAGCAGAGGCCGATGGTGTGGGTGGGAGAGCTAGCGAGACTAACTGGATCTGAGAGGAGGGCATGTGGAGGGTTGTTTTCGTGAGTGTTTTGGGGTGGTTTGGGGATGTGCTGCTTGAATCAGTACCCTCGTATATGCTTCTTCTGGAAGGGAGGGATAGAAGATACCAGTGGGTGACAGAGATTGCGTTTGGAGGAGGAGGAAGTAGTATCCGGTAGCGGAGGAGGGAGCATTGGCAGCCGCCTGTGAATGATTTTGGCGTCATTTCCTGAGGGTTGGGGTTGTTCAATTGCCCGGGGAGGGATTGGAGCGGTCTTCGCGGGTGATGGGTTTGATGTTAACATAAAGTACAAAAAAACAAAGAGTCAATTGCTAAGAATTTGGTGCCCTTTTTATAAGAACTCAAAGATTATACCTAACCACTGCATATATACACCTCTGAAGTTTGGTCAATGACTCACTCCACTCTCCTTTCTCTAGCCCTCCCCGATCCACGGTCCAACTACAGTATACGGTGCGGTATCCCCCCTAGTATCATATCTATATATGCTCTGTCCAATGGGGAACAATGCACGTAGCTTAGCTTGGGTGGATGGATGGAAATACTGTCCCCAATTTACGCTGGAGCTCTCTCGTCGGGAGCCCCCCCCGCATGGTCTTGACACATAAATTGCTAAACTAACGTACGGTATCCCTCCTCTCCTAGTCTCCCACCTCGCGATACGAGAAATACCGGTACGGTACCCTGCACCACGCTCCTGGGCGGTGGAAGGCTCTAGAAAGAAAAGAAACCTTATCCCAGCATCTGCTCCTCCAGGCAAACACCAATTCTTCACGCAAACTACCGGTAGCTTGCGCGGGGCAGAGTCCTCGCACAAAAAAGCAAGAGCGGGGACGACCCCCTGCTTGGTATTTGTATCACTGCCTCAAGTGGGTATTATATCCAGGTTCGCTCGCCTTAAAATTTGGGATTTTTCTGATTTCTAATGGTCCTCCCCCACCTGATTCTCCGATTGGATGTTCGCGCGGAGTTTGGTTGTGGGGGAGGAAGTAAAGTATCATAGGAGGGGGGTCAACGAACAGGTCAAACAAAATCACTATTTGCCAAGAAACTTTTCAGTGTATCGTTCGTTGAACCCCCTACTCGTACGAGTACTTGTCTAGATGTTAAAGGCGAACTCGAGAACGGATTGGCAAGAAGTCTAACCGGTATTGCACAGAGGAAAGGTGGTGGTGATCGACACTCTGCTGCCACCGTCCATTAGTTGCGGAATACCGGTAGTACCACCAAACCTCTTATTATCGCACCAGCATTCTGGGAATATTTTTAGTATCTCGAGTACCGGTACGGTGAGTCAGTACCAACATGATACCAGGTAACTCTCTCTAAACAACTCCAGTACCGGCGGGATAAACCAAGCAGCCAATCACATCCCTTCTCACTGCTTGGTAGCTCCCCCAAGCGGTCCAGAGCACGTGCCAAATCTTGGCAGAGGCAGCCAAGCAACGACGTCAATCACTCACTTTTGAAACAGAACTCTCTCCGACATTCATTCTTTTTTATCGACCCATGCGTGCATGAACGCCGGTTCCAACAATGACTTCGAAAGCCCAGGGAAATATCCTCACCCGTATTTATTATGCATGGAAGTCGCTGAAGTTACCATGGCGACGTAAAATCTTTGTCGGTATGTTGTCCTAGGATGAACATAATCCAATTATCTATACCACTGTCAATTTTCTGACGGCAAGAACAGGAATGGATCTGGAGGGCAACTCCTTTTGGGAAATCCCTATCAGCGTGCACGGGCGCGTTCGTCGGATAGTCGCGTATAGAGATCCCAAGCGAGATCTGGTGGACTACAAACTGCCCCGTACTGTATACCCCGTCAGTGCCATACACGCATCAATCTCCCCTTTGCTAATGACTTATCCCCATTATAGCCCAATGGACCCAGTGGCTTCGTCACAACCGGGTTGCACCAACAATAGCGGAGCTCCACGGAGACGTTGCCCGGCAAGCTCAACTAAAACAGCTCGCTGCCGCCGCTGACGCACGATGGAATTCGAAACCTTCTTTACTCAACGCTGCCCCGCATCCTCCGACCGATAGTGTACTGGAAAGCAATACCAAGTTCTGCAACGATTCCGGATTGCAGCGGCGGGAAGAGATGTGCCGAGGGCGCGGAGAAACAGGAGTGGGGTTTGGCGGAAAGGATAAGGAAGGATATAGACCTGCCGGCGAGAGTGTGGATCGGGCACACGGGGCACGGGGCGGCGAAGCCTGGGGTGGAAAGGCGGGGGGAGAATTCAAGGTTGGAGAGTGGGATCCGAATGCGGGGTTGCCGAAAAAGAGGCCAGGGAGAGAGTAATGAGTTAATTTATTGTAGGATGTTGTAAGGATCCAAACCTGAATCTTTGTACCAGGCAATGTATCCTCCTCCCCCGCCCTCACCCTGGTGCGCTTTGAGGGCATGTGATGTTTCTGTCCCCCCTCGGGGAATTGATTCTTGTCCGAGGGGCGAATTAAACTTGGGAGCCTGGGGAAGACAAGTTTGCCTGGATCGTGGTGCTGTGATATTCTGCCGCTGGGGCACAGTCCGGGCGTTCGGGTTTGTCTTGTTTTGGCTCTAATATTCGCAAGGTTCAGAGGGAGAAACGAGGAATGAGCAAAATGTGCTAGAATATTGTAGGGAATGGCAGGAATTCATGGCTTGGAGGCATTGTCTTTCAGGGGTAAGTGTGCCGGGGCGGCGCCATTTCGGATGAGCCATCTCGGCTAAAGGGCTGGAGGAAGGGGTGATATAGAGATGAAAACGCAAGTCGCAGATATTTGGCCACAGGGTACCCGGGTGGGGATCTCTAGTCCTCGAAGCACTAATCACAGAAGGGATATCGGAACAAAAGATGCCGAACAGGACAGTATTTAGAAGATGGCCACTGATTTCACATACGAAAACCTCCCGCGATGTGTTGCTAGATCTGTCAGTTATGTGATGTGGCGTTTATTCATAAAATTTTGTTGAAACCCCTTTAAGATCTCAAAAATTTAAAACACACCTGAAGAGCTAGCCAAATAAGTGACTTTCTCACAATGCTATCCCCTCAAGCGCATCCATTAGAGAGAGAACGACTAGTCACTCACTACTCATTCCCTTACCATTCTCAACAGCATCTGTAAAGTCTGGAATCCTCACGCGAGTTTTCCCCTCACAATCGCGTGGACATTCAGCGTACCGGTACTATACGATACACGTACCATAGGGGTATGATATCATATAATATAGATAAGTGCAGAAAGCATGTAAAGACGAAAAAGCCCAACAGAGAAGTGAAAAGGGAAGGAAGAAAAAAACTCCATAAGGGGGAAATATGCATCATAATATTATTAGAAAAAAACACCCAACACTAGCCAATTCAGGATCTGAAATAGAAGACAGCATATATGTGCCAATCTTCTGTCACCCCTGCACCCGCTACCAGCTTCTCTGCTTACTGAGCAGCATTGCCATCTCTTTCATTTATGGACACAGCCAGAATGCCATTCTTTCTAGCCTGCTATGTGAAGGTCGTTAAAGTAGATCCATGATTGGTGGAGTCTGATATCATCCCATGCTTCGGAGTCGGAAATACCATGAAGTAGCATAACTAGGAAGAAAGGAAGGAAGAGGATAAGTAAAGGCGGAGTGTAGAAAAGTAAGAAAGGGAAAGGAAGAGGAGGGAAAAAGTGAAGAAAGGAAGAGAAAGGTTGGAAGAGAGGTGAAAAAGGCAAGAGGGCAGAGAAATGTTAGGAAAGAAGTAGGAGGTGGCAGAAGGGAGATGTGGGATAAAATGGGTAGAAAACTAAAACATGGATAACAAGGAAGAATAGAGGAAAATGTATAAAATGTTCCAAGTACCAGCAATTCGGAAATAAAGAGAAGGTTGTGGGCCTGTTTGGTTGTGATGGTTCTGTTCTGTTGTCCCATACAAAGTGACCGTTTCGAAATGAAATGACTACCTTTTTTATATGGGAAACGGCCCCGAAACGGAACGGAACTATTGCGACCAAACAGGTCCTAAAAAGGGAGGAACAATTCAGGATCTAAGCCAACATTTCCCTAGCAAAAGAGCTTGTGCTCATACTCTAAGTTCCAAGATCCGTGAATAGAATTTCTCTGCGGTGCTAAGGGTGTTAAGTTCCCGCCGCGGTGGCAAATTGACCACCCCCTCGTTCTCCCCTTGGAAGCACGCAGGGGGCGGTATTCGGCGGTCACATCCACCACATCTATCTACGCATTGTTCAATCCTTCAAAAGCTGTAATGGGCATACAGTGCTTTCCGGTCCAGGATTCAAGTGATCACATAATAAATTTCATCATGCCCACCGCGCGACACAGCAGTCCAGGTCTAAGTAATGGCACGAAGACATGGGCACCCTGGAACCAACGGACAAATCTAAAAGAGCAAGCTGTATCAGCAGTTTGGGTGTTTTTATCTCATCAGACAGATAACGTACTTCCACAAGATCTCTTGTGCAAGCCTAAACAATTTTAGCACTTTTTCTCGTGACAAACACTGGTAACCAATCCCCAACTTACCTTATCGTATTTGTCTACCCGCCTCCCATGGTACAGTACAGTAATACTGTTGTCATGGACGATCACTCGTTTCCAGCCTGAATTGAGGGGCAAGGTCATGCTGCTCATTATATAATCGGGTAACCGCCTTAAGCTATTGTATACTGTTAGCTAACCCTGTGATAGCTGTTCCAAAAAAAAAAAAAAAATAACAAGTAGAAATAAAAAAAAATGAGAGAATCGGGAGTATAGTAAAAACCAAGAATGGGGGACAATCAAGGGCATCACCTCGCTCCGAAAGTCACCAACTCGTCGCCGCACCGTCAAGTTCTAGAGTACAGGTGAGAGAAAGAGACATCTTTTTCAGAAGCAAGAAGACATGCCAACGTAGTTTGGCTCAAGTATGATACTGTGCCTCCCAGTCTCCAGGGTAATGGCGGGCCGATCCAGTAGAATATCATAAGGTATTTTGCGAATAAGTGGTCATTACTTCAAGAAAGTGATTTATTTTCCTGTAGGAAATAGGCTAGTGTGCCGCCGAGAGTGGCTCCTTTTTATGAAAGGAGTGGGAGTTTTCTTAACCAAATAGGAAAGCCTGAATTGCAAAAGTGTTCCATGTGTTTTCCAATTATATAATATCTCACCGGTGTTTATCCCATCTGTGGGTTCTAAAAGTGGAAACCGATTTGAGGCAAGATCCATCTTCAACAGATTGATCCTCCTTATTGGCCTTTCTCACTTCCCTGTTGGTGTTCCGGTGAGTCGACTAATAGCTTGTCAAGTGGTTCAAAGACTGCAACCTGTTGCTCCAGAGGTGTTGATTCCACTGATATCGTATTCGCAGTTGGACGTCTTGTCTTCCGCAGAGCCGGTTTCCACAACAACCTTGGCAAATGCGCTATTCCGCGGGTCTCGTTCAGTTAATTGGTGTCAACTCACACTTCCCCAGTAATGATACCTGTGTCAGAGAAAGAAAATTCGCAACAAGAACGTTCAACTGCCCAGCCCAACTTATATATCAAAGTATGTGATTCCATAAAGTTGACTAATTACAGTACACAAAAATAAAACAAAACAGTAATAATTATTGTAGAAGAACCTGTCAGACTTCCATCAAGGCCCACCCTCATCACCTGTCATACCCCGAAGAGTAAGCTCATAGCAATTCGGGTCGAGATCATAACCACCGCCGCCGAAGCAGGGGTCAAAAAAGGGTTCACTCTTGGGTCTCGAGGAGATTAATGGTCATCCCCCAGGTTGGAGAATCTGTGGCTCTGGTTAGAGTTTCAGATGAGACGATTTACTATAGAAATGATCCTATGAAGTAAAATCGCATGGTGGGAGAAGAGGGGGGTGGGGGTGGGTGCTTATTTGTACCTGAGGAAAGGAAGTGCCAAGATTTGTGGGTCGGGAATAAATGGGGAAATTTTTTTCTTCTCCCGAAGACGCTTTGGTGGAAAGGGGTTACCGGGTAGGGCTCAGACCTCGGTACTCGAGTACCCTATGACGACACTGGTGTGAAAGCATGAGAGTATCATATCATGATAGCAGAGGCCTTTGGAGAGGAATAAGGGAGAATAATGGATGATCCCAGGGAGGCACAAGTTCCTAAGTTCCTAATCCTTGGTCATAAGCGACACAGTAGATGCGACAGAGTCAACACTTGTTCAGTGGCAGTGCTTTGGTGTGCGGTTTAGTCTCCGAAAATATGATACTCGTAGTAATCCACTGTACGAGTACCTGCGGATAAAACACTCAGCATGCTACATAAATCTATCTATCACTCACTCATAGGAGAAAACAAGTAAATAGAGAAAATGTGTAAACATGGGAAGCGGGCGAAAAGGAGCACCCCTAAGTAGAAAGTAACAATTGAGTTAAGTGAAATAATATAATGTAAACTCTATCAATGATTGGGACTCACCTTTCCCACGAGAGCATCAACTAACCATCCCTACGCTAAACTCTGCAAGTGGAAAAACGTGGGTTTGGCCGGGCCAAGCGAGCGGACGCACAAAGGATCCCAGAAGTGGAGGCCATCCAGGCATTTTTTCACAGCTCTGCCATTCCATCCTTCCCATAAAGATCAGCAAACAAGAGAAGTGTTTTGCTGTGGGTACCTAGTTTACCAGGGCCCATATCTCCTTGTCTCAGTCATATTATCATAGCTTCACTATTGCCTACTCGAGTAGAGGTTCTACGACTCACGTGTTGGTTGAACAGACCTAGCGGGGGCTATTTAACGAAACCGGAGGGCTGCAACCCCGCCCGTGTTCTCCGATATCAGGGGGGGGGGGGATCTCAGAAGGGAATAAGTTTGGCCGCTAACAAGGCTCGATACTGGTACGATAGCGGGATTGGTTATTCATGAAATAATTTATCTTCATGCAGTTTGCTTGCCCTTCACTGAGGTAAAGAACAAAACCCATGGCCGGGGGGCAATGTTTCAAGGAAAAATCATTGTGGATGTTGCCATGCCATACCCCGTAGCAAGTTTCTCCGGACCTGCCTAGCGCTGTCGTGCGAGAAACATGATTGTCCGAGTGGTGACAGATGAAGATGAATTCATTCGAAAAAGCCAAATCATGAGTTTCTTACCAAAGTGTTGACCCTTTCCAAAGGCAACATGTTCCAGTTTCACTTCCCATCTATGGTCCATTCTAATTATCATTTATTGCACTCAATGCCACTGCCCGCGAGATGCAGGTACTGTAGTCTACCGCTGTTGTTGAGCTCACTCACCTTGACATCTCAAACCTTGGCACACAATCCTGGACTAGCCAATTGTGGCTAGCCACCGCCACAATCAACCCAAAAACCACATTTCCACAACCTCCTTTTCCCAAGTCTCTCCAACAACTTTACAAAATATTCCCGTCCACACGTCAGGCCCTACCATTACCCTCCTCACCTCTCATCCACGTTACCGCACCACCCACCTCCGGTACCTCTCAAAACAACAATATCTGGAATGGCGCCATCAGCTTTACGGCCGAGCATCAGCGCTCTCTTCCTGCTGGCTGTCTCTCTGTTCTCGGTTGTCTCCACCGCTCTAAAGTTCGACATTGCCGCGCAGCAAAGGGGTCATCGGCAACGATGTATTCGAAACTTTGTTGCGAAGGATACCCTCGTTGTTGTAACAGCTACGGTTAGCGGGACTAGAGGCGATGGGCAGCAAGTTAACATTCACGTATGAACTCATCTGTTCTCTTCGGATTGGTCGATCGCCGGAGCTAATGTGAATTGAATAGATTCGAGATGCTGTTGGGAATGAGTATGGACGACCAAAGGATGTAGTTGGTGAAGCCAGGATGGCATTTACTTCCCATGCTGATTCTGCCTTTGATGTTTGCTTCGAGAATAACATTGAAGATGGTAGGTGCCTTTTTTTTCCTCTCGTTCCTTTATTAACTCTCGATTCCGTGGGTGGGGCTGATAAAGGTGTAGGCCGCCATCCCGGCCTTACTCGCTCTGTTGAACTTGATGTGGATATTGGTGCCGACGCTCGCGACTGGTCTGCTATCCAAGCTGCGGAGAAATTGAAGCCGGTCGAGATTGAACTACGACGCATCGAGGAGGTTGTCTCGGAAATTGTCAATCAGATGGAATACTTGAGAACAAGGGAGCAGAAGCTCAGAGACACGAATGAGTCTACGAATGAGAGAGTCAAATACTTTGCTTTGGCTATTATGGCGACTTTGGTTGGACTTGGTGGCTGGCAGGTTGTTTATCTGAGGGCCTATTTCAGGTTCGTCTTGTTCTGTTTTCTAGCCCTCCCCATTGGAAAATGCTAACATTCTACCAATAGATCGAAACACCTTATCTAAGTAATGGATCTCTGACGAATCGAACTACTTTTCTTATCGCTGGGTTGTACCGCTTCGTGTGCTTTGGATTGTACCTTTTTCGCCATTTATTTTAGCTGTAGCCTTTTTTCCCTCTATTTTTAAAAAAACGAGTTGTGTTTTGGGTTTGGATGGTGTTTACATAAAACGGGGAACCGTATGGTTGTTCGCGATTAGTCGGCCAATTTATGATAATAACGGGTCATTTCTAGAGCACTAGTTCAGTCTGATGGGTGTGAATTGGATTAGGATATGAAATGTGTGGACTTGGGAATTTGTAATTGATACCAAGATACAATATTTGCTTGGGAGATCTTACCATAGCTCCCGTCGTGTGACACCGAACCGACAAGGTAGACATCGGAGGCCTGTATTGCCCTTAGTGACAATAAATGGAACTGCTAAGTTGGAATTTCTATGGCTATTCTGAAGCTGCCGAGTGCAATTGCTGTTGCTTGCTGAAGCCATACTTGGCCGATTGGGCGAGAGGAGCCGAGTGTTTACTTCTTTTTCCGATTTAACGAGTGATTGGTGATGACCTTTCGTCTACGGAGACATAATATAGTGCGCAGTGCCAGGGGCTGTATACATAGCGGACTTTCGATGTGGGGTAGAGGCCTTAAATAGCAAATACCACACCTCTATGGCTGAGAAGGCATCCCCTAGCCCCCATTTTTTCTCATTCCTAGCAACCATAGGACAAAGCATCACTTGCTAGAACACTCTCACGTCAGGCATCCTCCCCAACCCCTTCCTAACCTCTCTCCCGCCATCAGTAACCTTGGCTCTCTCCTTCACATGTCTCCTTAACATCCCCAACATCTCACTTTCCGCCCACCTCCCGGGCGGAGGTCTGTACGGCTCCTTCTTCCTTCCGACCGTCTGCGCCCACTCGCCTTGCCCATACTCCACCTTCCCCACCTTCTCCCCCACCTTCGTCTTCTCGCTCACCATTTCTTCACTATCCCCCTCAGCGTGTCCAACACTGGTAGCCGGAGCCGGAGGCGTCTGCGTCGCCCAGTAGTATATATCCCAGTCATTCTCGTCCAGGAACCTATCGTACGCATCCAATTGCTCCATGCCCATCTTTCCGAGATTCTCGTCCGCAAAGGTAGATAGTAATAGGTCCGTTTCGAGAATGCCGCGCTTGCGGGATTGGTAAAGGAGACGAGCGCGCTTCGTGCTTAGGCCCTCGACCGTGCGACGGAGCGGTTCGATACGGAACTCCGCGCTGGAGGCTAACTCGCCGAGGGAGAGTTCGGGCGTCGAGTCGCCAAAGGAACCGGCGAGGCCGGGGCCTGGGTCATTGTGATTGAGTGGGCTCGTTTCTTTAGCAGCCCCAGTGGTCGAAAGGGGTTCTAGTAAGGCGTTTGTGAGGCCGGTTTTTCGCGGGTTGTCTGGGATCTTTGCGGAGATGGTGTTTCGTAGCACTGGGTTTGGGGGTTTGGGTTTTTGGATATTAACGTAGGATTTTGTGGGCTTGTCTGGCTTCGGGGTTGAATTTGGAGTGTGTGTCGGGGATCCTCTGCTGGAGTATTTGGCTGTGGCAGGGGATAGGAGGTGTGTTGCTTGTTTGAATACCGGTACCGGTATGTGAGAGCGGAGGAAGAGGCGAGGGTTTTGGGAGAACATTTTTTTCTTTCCCTTTTTTTTTCTTTATTTTTTTCTTTCTTCGGTGACGGGAGTATGTTTTGGGGGTTTTGGGTGCTTGATGGGGAGATGGAGGTTTGTTTGCTTGAATTAAAGATGCGGCTATTGGATGGGACGAATGAGGTCACCGCTAGACTGCCGTACCAACTTTCATTTGAAGAAGTCGAGAGTACTTGACCATTCATAAAGTATTCGGATGACTTGTCGCCAAGATTCCAAGCTTGGGTGCCGGTTGATATACCTTGGCGCTAAGGCATCCGAATATTTTATGAATGGTCAAGTAGGTTGGGTTTCAGAAAATGTATGAAGTGCTTGGAAAGCTCTATTGAGTAAACCCCAAGTAAAGAAATAGGGCTATTGTCCGGGATTACACCCTGGTGAAAACTTTTTTTGCATTTTCTCTGGCGCCCGAGAATAGTGATTAATGCACAGCCAATTTGGCTTGATTCGACCAAGCTTGGAACAACATCTATAAATTCGTCCTCCCCCCCAAGCTATGCAAGTGTGACTGAGCTGTATCATACACTAACCGACAACATAATAACACAGCACCGTACCTACTATTTCCTCCGTATCGTTTCCCCAAATCTTCCCATCGCACATCGCTCCACCATTCTCAACATGTCCTCGAACCCCATGGCTGCCGTCACCAACCGGTCTCTCCGGAATGTCATATCTGTTAGTCCAAATAATTTCACATCATCCCTTTACCCCTGTAATATTATACTAACGCACTAAAATGTCCACCCAGGAGCTCGAATTCCTCGCAGACACAAACGTAATCTCCGAGGCTGCCTTCCGTACCATCATCGAGCAGCTCCCGGCGGCAGGAGCATCAAGCATCTCTGCCGCCACCCTCTCCCCATCAACCCCCGCCCCTGGCCCAGTTCCACACACCAGTACTCCTGCAATCCCCCACCCGACCTTCTCCCCGCCCCCCTCAACCAAGACTCCCCTCTCAGAAAAGTACCTCCCAATCGCAACCCAGGCGCCCCCGTCACCACCCGCACCGCCAAGCTACACACCCACAGCGCTCGTTCTATCGCTAGCAAACGCGGAATGGGCCTTCACCGGGACTGAGAAGGGAGACCTATCCTTCAAGGCCGGCGACACCATTGAAGTGTTGGAGAAGATCAAGGATGATTGGTGGAAGGGCAGGGTTGCGGGCGGAAATGGTGAAATCGGGTTGTTCCCATCTAGCTATGTTAAGGAGACACGTGTGCTCGCTGGGAGGGAGAAGCCCCCCCTACCGAGCTTGCCGCCAAGGGCCGGGGGTAGTGGATATGGGTCTGGAGGGAACATGATGACGGATATTGCGCACGGGAATAGTGGACAGCAGCAGCAAGAGGGGGGAGGGGGCGTTGTTGGGAAGAATGGGGAGAAGTTTGGAAAGAAGTTGGGGAATGCCGCGATTTTTGGCGCTGTTTGTTTTCTCCTACTCTCCCTTGTTTCTCCGATTCTTGTGGGAGTGGTGGATTATCTACTAACACTCGAATTTTCTGCAGGGCGCTACGATCGGAACCAAAATCGTCAATGGAATCTTTTAGGTGTTGTTATTCTCATCACCACTAGCTAATGTTCTACCTGTTCACCTTTTTTCTGACTTTTCCTTCCTCCCCCATTTTCGTCTATTCCTTTGTTCCTGCTACCCCAGTTATCGCATGTTGCAAGATTAAACGATGGATAATCTACTGTACCATCCAGTTCTCCGTTCAGTATTTCCTACTTGAGCACTACCGTACTGTGGTCATAATATGATATTAGCCTACACGCCCATGCCAAGCTCCCTCTCTACTATTTCCCAGTAATTGAATTTAGCCGTTTACGGTACTTGTTACTCGAATACGAGTATGATGCTTGCACGCAAACTAAGGGGGTGTCCGGCGTGCGCATGATTTGGAGCCCACCAATCACAATGCCCAGCCTGCTTACATAATCCCTCTATGAGTCCTGTAATTGGTCGGAATCGGATCGTGGTTTGCGGATCGCGGTTGTTGGGATCGAATTGTGCGCGCGCCGGACGCGCCCTAAGTCATGGTGCAACTGGCATTGGGTTTTGCTGCGTTTTTTCGTTTATGTACTGTACACCGTAACTTAATTTGCGTCTGAGTATAGGAAACTACTTGTCAACTCAACACTAGAAGTCCATTTACCCCGGCAGAAATGGCAACAATACTCAGCTACCTGGAACTTCCACACTAGGTGTTCCAACATCCCGTCCATGGTTTACTGTGTTGAGCCTAGAAATCAGATGGGTTCTTTCTCTCCCTTGTTTTCTTAGAATGGTCGTCTCTCGGGTCTATACTCGAGTATTTGTTACAGTTACTGGATGGTATCTAAACATACAAGAGTTGATTTTAAAATTGGTTTGCCTTTGGTTTGATAGTTCAGGTTATGCATTTAACTTCAAATATATGATATTGGGAGTATATTTTGAGATTTGGTTGATTGATAGATGGTATATTCCTATAACTTATTTAGATGGATGTTATATCTCTGTATCAGTTTATATAATACAATAACTAGGTTTTGCTTATTTGTATAAAGAGGAGTACGCTTTTCATTTCTCTGGCCTTTCATGCAATTTGGTATTATTATCACGAACTTATACAGATGAATATTATAATACCAATTTTTTTCAGAAATCTTTAATCTTAATCCTGAAAGGGAACCTTAGTTTGGTGATTCAAGACCTGACAAGATCTTATCTGACGGTATTTATATATATTCATATAATTATAGATAAATTATTATTTAAGTTATGCGAGTTTAGTGCATTTAAGATAGGACTTGTAAAACGCTAACTATTAAGCAGAATTGAACTGAATATAGCGACTACTACCAGAATGCAGCGATTAAGCTACAGCATCAGCAAATATTATTACTAGTATCATGTGCATTTGATAGGCTTAGAATGTCAAGAAATAATTAGGATATAATTGGGGCAAGATACTATTCAGCAGGATCTAAATAGAGGTTACAACCATATTAGGGCGTATCTAACACCAAACTACAGAATATATAGGACGTTATCAGGTATCACGGGTGCGATTTGATGTATCTATCAAATAAAACCTGAGAGTATAAGTAGTCATATTTTAAACATTTCTAACAGGGATTTCTTCGTGGCAGCTGATTATTATCCTTATTTTCAAAAGGGGACCTTTTGAGCGAAGTGGAGGGATTGAAGTCTTAAGGTGTAATTAGCTGTTAATTGATTCCTCCCCCACGGTTGAATGTCGGGGGCCCCCCCCTGAATGCAGTGGGTGAGAAGGTGTAGCGGTCAATAAGCAGCCTGAGCGTTCGAGTAGAGAGTCGATAGCTATAGATAATCAACGGGTAGGCTGACGCATAAGCTGTCGGTCCCACAGGAACACAAATCCGCTATCTTACGGGCGTCTCCGTCACCCTACTGAACGAGTAATCTCAGGATTCAGAGACAGAAAGAAGCTCCCTAGGAGGACTAACTTTAGATCTTTCCAGAAGCGGTATAATATCAACCCTCAGGCCGTGTTGGATCTCATTAACTGGTATTCTCGATTCTGTTAACCTGTCGGTCTAAAGAAATCATGGCTGACCGGCTAATAATCTGATGACGGATTCCATGAGTTTTTGCGGTACGGGTATGATACGTACTCAGGGGCGGACGCTCTCTTGGCTCTGGCACTCAATCCCCAAAACATCGTAACAACCCTTAGCTGTTGTTTTGTTTTACTCCCCACTCCGCTCCTACGATGCAATGAAAGTTTTCTCAACCGAAAGCCAGTTTTTTTCCATTTCCCTGCCTCCTTTTCTTTTGGGGATGAAGCTAACCCTCTAGCAAAAGCCTAGAACTTGCGGGCATTCTATAACGACTAGCAGCGAATCAACGCAGTGAAGCGAGAACGCCCATAGAATAAGTTGTCTTAGCGGGGAGCGGAAACATGGCTTTTTTCGGAGTGATTTTCCCCCTTCAGCGTGAGTGAAATCACTCTAGCTGTTACGGTAGCTTGCTCATCAGGTGTCACTCGGAGCGCTCTGCCTGGGACCCCTTCGTTAACGAAATCCACAAGCAAAGCTGCGTGAAGTAATGAGCAAGAAGAGGCGAGAAGGACGGGAACTGGTGGCGTGGCGTCCGCCACTAATTACTTAGGACTTTATTTGGAATTGGGGTAGGGACTTCGACGAGGCCTTTATGGGCATAAACGCATTAGCCTTTTGAGTTAGGAGTGCTACTTGAATGTGTTATATTGGCTCACATAGACCCCTTTAACCAGTATGAGTATGACCGCCTATGGCGTGTGCATCTGCCGGAGAATTAAGCAGCGGGCCTCTTTGCCCTCTGGCTATTCCGTTCTGGTTTACTTTGTCTTCCAGCTCCCGCTTCCTGTGCTGGGCCTCTAACATTCTGGGTGGATGGGGGTGGGCTTGGAGGGGGTGTTCCGTGGAATAGTGTGCTGCAAGGAGATGGTGGATTGTTTGTTTAGTCACGGAGCATTGGAGATGGAGGTTTAATGGTAGTAAAAACAGTATGATAATAATATTATTATTATGATAAAAAATGGATGCAAATCACTCCGCGTCGAAACCCAACGTCCGGCACAAATCCGTAACCTTATTCTACTCGGCTCCCCCCACTTCCGCAACTTACGATACCGGAGGTGTCCTGCAACACACAGCTAAAACAGTGATTTTGAGGCGTCAGTTCGTGTGGGTTTCCACTCGAGCATCACTGTGCCCAACAGCCTAAGATATCATACCTATTCGTTGATAGCAAGCTTGCAGCTGAGAATTATGATTTCTCACTCTCCGAGTTAGGGTTTGGCTGTACTCGCCGACTGTGCTATACTGTAGAAGGTGCTTGGTTTTACTTTTCTCGGAATTTTAAGAAGACTCACTTGGGTTTGCTTGTCACAATTGCCGTTGTATCATACTGTTTTCAGGGGTGGAAGCTGGAGGCCTTTACTTTTTGGCATGTGGATTGATAGCGCTTGGGTGAGAAGCGGCGAGGGTGCGAGTGGGGGTCAGCCTCTTGCCAAACCCACCAGCCCTACGAGTGATTTGTCATGCTGATACTTGATGAAGCTCCTTCGGAGGTGGCTAGAGAGGGGTCATAATATGTGTTTCTCTTGCAGAATTTACTAGAGTTCAAAGCTGGGGCTCAACTGAAAAAAAATATTGATCGGGACTAAGGCAGAAAGTCTCATTTTGTGCTTGACGTTCCCTGTGCTTAAATTAACAATGTCTATGCAGGTACGCATACCTACGGTTTATTGCCTGCGCAGTAGTTCAGAAGACTCTGGACAAGGGGTTTGTCGGGATGACGCGTGGGCTACTTCAGAAAGAAACATTTGCTGTCAACCCCCCCCCCTCTAAACAAACCTTTACCCTCTCATCCCAATCCCCCACCCCCCTCCTTGTGCCTTCCGCCCTCCCTCTAATCCCCCACCTATTTCTTTCCTTCCGCTCCCCACTATTACGCATTTCATCTACACCTCCTTCCTCCCCAGTCTTCTAACATCTGGGCTTCTTCGATCGTCTTTAACCTTCACACTTTCACTATCTTTGATAGCAAAACATCAAACTATTATCAAACATGTCTGGCTGGAATGACCTCATTCCTGCTTCTGGTGGCAGCAATGATGGTAAGTTTTTAATCGGTCTTTCACCAATTGAATTTTCTCATTTCCATCGCAATGATTGAACCCACCAACCCCAGCTTTTATTTTTCTCCTATCAGTTCATGTGTTTGACTGAAACGATTCTTTTCCTGCACCACCTTCTGCCCGACTTTCGGAATGCTTCTGGGAAGATTATTCCACTTTTATCCATTGTTCTCTCCTTGTTTGATTGCTCTTTAACCTTGTTTTCGATAACTATCCATTTGGCTTCGAACAAAGATTCATTCTGACTTTATTTCATAGCTTGGGGTGCTGAGGCTTCTGCGCCTCTCGTGGCAGATACCGGGGCGTCTTGGGCTGCAGGAATTAGTGCTCCAATTGACGAAGTTCCTAGCAATGGTGGTGGTGGCGATCAGGGTAATAGCTATTACGGTGCCAATGGAGATGTTAACGGTGGTTCTGCAGTTGATGTGAAATGCCGCATGTAAGCCGCTTCATGGAGATTGTATTTTGATCTTAAGTTACTGACCGGCAACCTCCAATTTTAGCTGCTCTAAGGAAGGCCATTTCTCTAAAGATTGCCCTGACAAGCCCGCTAACTTTGGTGCTTGCTTCAAATGTGGAGAGCAAGGGTATATATCCCTCCGATTAAAAAGCGTCTTGAGAATATTTGCTCATAATTTCTTTAGCCATAACAAATCTGATTGCCCTAACGCGGCTATTCCTCAGGGACCGTGTCGCCACTGTGAAAAAGAAGGTATGCTATTTAGCCCGAGAAATAAATTTTCAGACTTATTTTCAGACTTATTATTGACAATGCCCAGGTCACTTCTCTAGGGAGTGCCCTGATAAGCCGGCCAACTTTGGAGCATGCTTTAACTGTGGGGAGCAAGGGTATGCATGCCTTATGTTGAGTCGGTTCATAGCTATTGGCTGATATAACCCCCAGACATAATAAGGCTGAATGCACAAGTCCTCGCGTCCCTCAAGGTCCGTGCCATCACTGTGCAAAAGAAGGTTCGTTGTTCAACTTATCAAAGTTCTTATCTAAGAGGATACTCACATCTGTTTAGGTCATTTTTCTCGGTGAGATTGATATCGCTCACTAGTGTAAGATGGAAATGTGCTGACCACTCGGAAACGAAGCGAGTGCCCTGAAAAACCAGCGGAGATATGCCGTAACTGTGCACAAGACGGTTTATAACCCTTAATTATTCGATCTTTGTGTTTTTTTCGTTGAGGTTATTGACGATTATTTACAGGCCATTTCACCGCGACGTGCACCAATCCTCGCAAACTTGATCTTAGTCATATTGTTGATAGATCTCAAGAAGAAGCATGGGATCTTATGACTAAAGCGAGCCAGAGAAGGGATTTTGATGGGTTTAAACAGGTGCTATATACTATGTGAATAAACATCTTGCGAAGTACAAGTTTTGCTAACCGTTTGAATAGCATATGCTAGAATACCTAAAAGCCTCCCCCGGCACCAGGCTCGATGAGATCGAAAAGGCTATGCGTACTCAAGGGTTGAATTACTGGATTTATGCCTTGGTCCGAGACCCCTCTATATCCGTGATCTAGTATCTAAAACATTCTATTAGGAGCGTGAACCCGCCTACAACGAAGTCATTGTTGGGCCTTCCGGCGAGCTCGATTGCAAATACGTTTGGACCCTAAATACTTCTGCCAGGCCTCGCCGCTCGAGGGCGATTGCTCACCGTATGGCAAGCACCCCCGAAGAGAACATGCAGCGTCTAAAATTTGCTGGTGAAATTATGCCCGAAACACGGCCTTTCTGCCACACTTGCAAGTGTACGTATAAAGTATCTTGCCAGATCTGTGGGTTCTTGATTACGCTAATCTTTTTGATATCATAGCCAAGGGTCACACTAGTAAGAAATGCGAGGTCGAACGTCCAGAGGATGAAATGACCCGTGTTGTCCTCAAGTGTACTAACTGTGATGGTCTTGATCACCGCCGCCGTGACTGCCCTGAGCCAAGAAAAGTTGAGGTGAATCGCAATGCCTGTAGGAACTGCGGGTAAGTGGTTGACCTCTCAGCCCCATAGACAAGGCTAACCAAGTCTCCAAACAGTGATGAAGGTCATAGAGCCTCTGATTGCACCGTCCCTCGCCAAGCAGATGAAAATACTGAATGTCGTAAATGTGGTAAAAGTGTGTATATGTCATTTGAGCTGGCCGTATTTTCTTCTGATGCTAATGGTGGGGCTTCAAAAACAGTGGGCCATTTTAGCAAAGTAAGGAATCTATATAATATATTGTTTCATGTAGCTGGGCTGACGTTATCACAGGAATGCCCTGAGCGTGGTGCTGGTGGTAGTGGTGAATGCTATAATTGTGGTGGAGAAGGCCATCGTTCTTCGGTAACTGTTTTGAGGGTGCTCCTGTCAGGGTTGGGTCTTAGCTAACGGTAGCTAGGATTGCACTAACGAGCGGGTTCCAAAATGCCGTAACTGTGATGAGCGTGGGCATGTTGGAAAAGACTGCCCAAAGCCCAGAGACATCACGTAGAGGATCCTTTCTTAATTCTAAAGAGCTGCACTAACTCAGTATCTCTATAGCCGCGTCAAGTGCAATAACTGCGGAGAAAGCAAGTAACCTGTTCCTCAAATCTAGAGTGAAAGCTGACGATTTATAGTGGGTCATTTCTCCAGGGGATGTACTCGCCCTTCCATGGTTCAGGACGACGGAGATGCCGAAATGACCTTCTCTGCTGCCGACAATTCTCGTATAGAAGTGGTTCCTCAACTAGAGGGTACCGGTGCTTGGGGAGGCGGAGCTAAGGACGACTCATTTGCCGATACCATTGGCGGGTGGGCTTCTAGTGTTGAGCCTGTTGGTGGTGGCGGCGGCGGTAGTTGGTAAACTTGAGTGAAGAGATTTGGAAGTGTTCGCGGACAAACATGCCTTCTACAATACACCAATGCTATAAAGCAAGACTTTGTCTGTGCAGCTTGCTTTCCGGGTCAACTCTCTTTGGTGGGAATACTTTGCGTGTAATTTCATGATGCTTCTTTTCAGTGTCCTCAGTTAGTTTCAAAAATAAAATGTAGTCTTTGGTTGCTATCTTTCTTAGTAGCGGCGGTTCGTCGAGTAGGGTCCAGTACTGGTTAGAAGGGTCTTTCGGTTACTCGAGAGCAGTGACTCATCCGAGATGGTGGACATGAAAACAGCGCTGGTGTTTTATTGGGTAACAACACCATCGATCCCTATTGGCCGGGTTAAATTCGAGACAAATCTAGTCACTAGAGGTTGATATCCTATCATTATTTTGCTATCTTAGAATAGGGAAACCTTAAGAAGAGGTAGTCTAGGCCCGGTCTCCAATATCTCCCCAGGAGAATACATCCCAACTATCGGCTCCCCTCCCCCCTTTCCTCACCTGGTGGGTATACGGTAGTGGGGTTTGGATGTTCAACGAGCGAAAAATTACATTCCACTGAAATTATGGATAGGTGCAATGTAGTGGTTAATCTCATGGTTCGTACAGGCCTGGATTTCCGGGGGCCCATATTGGATTCCCCTGAATTATGTTGTAGTCCAATTTCTTTCATGATGGGGAGGGAGGTCACCTCTCCTAGAAAGGCGAACCCCACACGAAGATTGTAGGAATGGAGCGAGCAGTGGCCATTCGGCTTTCTTCCTCTGTAGGGCGGGGGGCGGAAAGTGGTGTTTAACACTTTTTATTGTCGACAAATTGGCATGACGACACAGGTGGGAACTGCCTAGTTCTCTAGGTATCATAAACGCGAACTCAATTCTTACAACACCTCATATTATGATACGATCATAGCTTATTCCCGCGAGAACAGTAACGTCGGTCAATCAGCATGTGTATGGTATGTTTCCTGAAACGTTCGGGCTCCATTGTTGCAATATTCCAACATCGCATACTGGTTCCCACCCTTGAAATTCATATAGTGCCGCCCATATATCCCCGATATCCCCATGCCAGGGGCGTTCCCACGGGGGCACTCGTATCATACTGATGTCAACCATTTCCGTCGTTAAGTCCTCGGGTTAAAATAATAATCGGAAAACTGGGGTTACAAAGGACGGAACCGATCTTCTAGGGACCCCAACGCTCCAATCAGAACTCCAGAATCCCGTGTCTCCTTTTCCCATTTTTTTTTTTTACAGTAGGGTGTGCAATGGTGACGCGGTCTGGGCAGGACTGAATGTTGGGAATGGAAATGATCGAGTTGAGGGTTTTTCATAATGATTAGGGAGGGAGGGGAGAGGTCTTGTCGATTGAATAATAGGATGAGTGGAGATTAGAAATAAAAGTACGGGAGAAGAAGGAGAAATACGTAGGAAGAAACTTTTCATGCCAGTATCAGCAGCTGACATATGCATGCCTGTCGGATAGCTCGGCACGTGGTATGGACAGGTCATCGAGTGAGATTTTGTGATCTGGATATGCGATACTGAATTGCTGTAGTATAACCACCTATTTTCTCGCCAAAGACACCCCTCTACATCGCTAGTGTGTCCTCGTAAAGCGGGGACATAATAGCTGGATCGCCGGGGGCGCAAGTAGTATACCCCGCGGTCATGAAGTAGGTTTATTAGCCTTGATGGCACCGCAAAAGGGTGCGCTTGGAAAATCCGCCCTCGTGGCTTATTCCGAAGCCACATCGTCTTTTGCCCATCTTTTGTCACTTGAACAGCAGTACCGCATTTCGAGGAGTTGGTTTTGGGAGACCAACCTTTAATCTGGCAAGACTCCCTCCGTACACCCGTGCAACGCTCGTGGGCTGTGGCGGGGGAGTAGCTTGGATGTTTGTTGGTTTTGCTCTCGTTTTAGGGTTTTTACGTTTCTCGTTGTGAGGGAGACTTTGGCGTACCATGGGTGTGGGTGGGTACTTGTGGAGCTAGTTATCATAGATGCTTCACATTGAGCTAAGAGCTCTCGCCGCGATCTTGTGTAGGTTTGGAATAAGGCACCTCCTATTAACTCATTATGGCCTAGACTATGCTTCCTTGAGAATATTTTTGCCTCTGCTGGATGTTTTACTTAGCTGGTATCCTATTTAGACGTACTGGGCGCAGGAGAATCTTCCTCGATAATATTATGATATGTGTTCAAGTGCTCTGCTCGCCTGCTGGTGCCAAGGTTAGGCACTATTGTGCGGGGTACGGTAGTGCAAAAGATCGACAACCATCTTAAAAACCTTGCTGGCAAGACGGAGATAAAGCATGGAAGATTGGACCGGGAGGTGGACCGGACGCAGGAATGAATTGATATTGTATGTGAATTTTGCTCAATTACTCACTGTACTGCGGAAGTTTCGACAGGATCTTATCTCCTAACTTGACACGAAAAAATGGCAATTCTGACATCCTGTGCTGTAAGAAACAATTCCTACTCCCCCAAGCTCTCTCTCTCTCTGCTGTTGGATGTCAATCGGGGTTTCCATATTTTTGCTTTTCTGATGCGTTTTATCTGGCACACTTCCCTACCTGGCACTTTTTGGTCGGGTGTGTTGCATAAAAGGTTGAAATACGATTGCCATTGGTTACAGGAGAACTCGCTCGGCAAACAAACAACGGAATCCTTCTGCGCAGTATCTAAACAGTGTGATGGTCATTTCTACTTCTGGGACAGGAAGAGCTTTTGCCATTTGGGCCCGAGCTGTTTCCCCAGAACAACGACCTGGCTGTTTATGGCTGATGGAAATATTCCATAGTCTGAATACCAGTATCTCAATTGTGAACACACATTGCGAAGGGCCTTCTGCAGCATAACCTACCACAGCCTTGTTCCACACTGCTGTTTGGGGCTCGGTACTGACATGGGGTCTCTGCTCATCCCAAAGCTGCTTTCCCAATTCTGTGGATCTTGCAAGAGTGCAGTACAGTACAGGCAGAGTAGTTCTACACATTTCACGTTTTCCATAAAAATAGCAAATGTCGAGCGATTGAAAACATCTCTTTCCGCCATCTTAAAAAGCACCAGGATGCCAATGTAAGATTTCCGTATCTACTCCTAATTGAATGACGTTTGCGAACACAGCTGCTATTGCACACCGCCAAAATTCATCCCTTTTCGTCTGGATCCTTGTGTCATGCAATAGTGGTCGTGCTCACAAACGGCTTCCAAATACGAGTATTCTGATTCACAAGTGGTCGTATCCTCAAGGGACCTCACGAGGTGCCTTGTTACCACTCACCAATACTCCGTATACGAGATTATGATACTTTTGCTTTTTCTAGGCAGATGCAGCAGGTGGCTCAACCTGTTTCGTTTGGGGTGGTAGACCTATGTGCTTTCTCGTATCAACAAAGCCTCACATTGATCAGCTCCCAACACACAATTTTTCGTGCCCAATATTCTACCAAACGACATAAATGTTCTCGACACCCGAAATTATCCAATCCTGAAGAGCTATCGAAGGCTATTTTTTGGCGAAAAGACAAGAGCCTCCGAGAAACCAATATGGCGCTACGGTCTCGTTCAGGAATTTACTACTTCCCAGAAGACGATCCACCCCCACCTAATGACCCGGATTACCACGCACAACCAGGCGAATCCTCATTTGTGGGTACTATTAGTGTGGACGCCTTCAACGCCATACCCACTGGATATGGTCGCCGACAGGCTACACCAGTGCCCGCCAATTCTCAACCGCCGCTAGTGCAACAGCAAGTCTTCCTCCCGCTTGTGCAAGTCTCGTACCAATGCCAGATCCTCATGACAACCGCCCGTACAGCGTTAACACAAATATTCTACTACCCTTGGAACCGACCGATTTCCAAAGCAACCTACACCTTCCCGCTATATGCAAATTGTTCCGTCATTTCTTTCGTTTGCAGGGTCGGTGAAAGCAAAGTTATCGCCGGTATCGTCAAACCAAAGGGGGTTGCGAAACAGGCGTACGAGAGCGCCACTGGTAACGGGCGGGTAGCAGGGCCGCCGGAGTATAATACTCCAGATGTTTTCACAACCAGTATTGGGAACATACCTGCTGGTGTGAAGTTCAAGGTTGAGATTGGGTATGTTTTGGAGCTGCTGCATGATGCGGAGGTTGATGGGATTAAGTTCACGATTCCGCTGTCGATCGCGCCGAGGTACGGAACGCTGCCGCGAGGTGCGTTTGGGCAAAATGGACCTGAAGTTTCGGTGGATAAGAGTCTTCGGGTGGAGATTGAAGTTACCATGGGCGAAGCAGTAAAGTCTGTCGGGAGTCCTTCGCATCCAACATCTATCGAACTGGGACGGCATGGAAGAGGAAGCGGGAGAGCGAATGCTCAAGAGCACGATCCCAAGAAGGCCCTAGTCATTCTATCTCAAACGCCTCCGGAGCTTTTGAAAGATTTTGTGCTGTTGATCACTACTGTTGCTCCCCACTTTATATCTACCCCCCAGGCACTACTAGAAACCCATCCAGCTATCTTTGGTCACCAAGCTTTAAAAGTAACGCTTGTGCCGCGCTTCATGATGCTAAAGATAGAGACACCGGAAAAAAGTGAAATGATCTTTCTAGTTGATCGATCCAGTTCTATGACAG